AACCAGGACGTTGGAAAATGAAAAAAAAAAAAAAATTATGAATAATTTCAGCTGAGGAAAGAAGTGCAAACAAAAAGGAAATTTTGAGAAATAAAAGGGGCATTAGGGCGAAAAAAAGAGGTACAAGTGCGTAAGGACGTAAATGTATGGAATGCCTAATAATAAGATTAAGGTACAAAATAATAAAAGTGGCATGAAAGGACTAAGGAAACTAAGGTTCTTATGGAAATAATGCGTAAGAGTATAAAGTGTGTATAGAATGCAACGTACTAGTCTCGTTTGTTAGCGGTCAAAGTGCAGTAGACCTATAGAGTCCCATCAGATCCCACCATAGCCTGTGGTTAGTTTTCAGGAATATTTCCATAAAGTAGTCCATGTATTAGAACATTGAAAATATTTGTGAGTACTTAAAACTATATTTTTGATGTGTTGAAGAAGAATTTTTGTTTCATAAGAAGACGGGTCAGCTGGTCCGATCGCATTGGCTGACAATTGCGACACTACATCGTACGAAGCCATGAAGGGAGAAACAGTGAAGCATATAAAAAATACCTTATACTATCTTTGTTTCAAGCGTTGGTTCCAGTTCTGTATCATGTTAAAAATTAAATATGAATAAACTATCCCAGTGAAAACAATATGTCTACATGTTACCTCTCTTCTGCATTCCCTTTCTGTTCAATTCGTGTCCCTTTTTCCAACAACCTTTATAAAACCCATTTTACCCGACCCCATGCATCCCGTGCAGTAAGTATATTGGATTGCAACAAAGGCCGCACGAGGGTGTTGGGGGATGTGGACGAGCGGGCAGCGCAGCGACACGTCGGGGAGAGCAAATACGTTGCAAGTCGTAGGTGCTGGGCCAGGGTGTCGACGGGGCATGAGAGAGTGAGAAATCACAAACAGTGGAGCCCGTGGCCAAGAGTCGTCGCTCCGGTCGTGTGCGAATGGGGGATGGGAGGCAGGTCGGCCGGCGGGCAGGTGGGATGGCGGGCGCGGGGTGCGGCGGGCTGGCGGGGCGGGGCCGACGGGCGGCGCGGCAGAAATGGGCGAGTTCCTGGGTGGGCGGGCGGGTTAATGCCGTGCGTGAATCGTGTTCTGGCGAGGGCGCGCCGGGGCCCGGGGCCAAACACGCGCCCCTCCGGGCTCCTGACGCAGCGAGGGCCTGGGGGACGAGCCCAGTGCACCCAATGATTACCGATTCTGCGCGCGTCAAGTCCTAACCTAATTAGTCCCGTAAGTGCTGTGCATGCTTTCATCGCGGGAGGTAGCGGTCGTTTTCCTCGGCACTGTGGGGAGATCCCTACCGTCGGCTAGAGAAGTTTTTCTCAACCAGGTATCGCACACCAGCGTGGCACCGCCCCAGCCGGGACAAGCTCTAAGCTAACTTGAAAATTTGCATTCGTCAACAAATATGTCCTGCAATGTTTTTTAATGGTTTTTATATATTCCCCAATTGATCTAGCTGGTGTGGATTCTCGAATTTCTGGGAAATTTTGAATTCTTTGCGATCATATTTAACGTATATTTTGATATATATTTTGATATATTTTGATGTACAACAGTCCGCCACTCAAGGTCATTTCTCTTGTTAACGCACGGAAGGGAAGCTGGTATAAAATTTTGAAGAAAACAATCGTATTTCAAGTATTCAAAAAACTGTTACAATTTTTTCCTGAAATGTGCTTACAATCTTTCCACATTTGAAGATATTTTGCCTTCGTTAATTTTGACTTACTTCGTTTATTAAAAAAGGTTTTTAAAGAAATTATTGTGGCGATATCGGGTAAGTTTCTCAGCAGCGACTGCGAGGTTAAAGGTAATCTCAAGCGGCGTTGCTGCGCTGCCCCAAACCTCGCGGCTGCACCAGAGGTCCACGTCATCCCGTGGCATTACACTTAAAATAGTTATGGGCCGAACAAAAAGTGTAAGGATCAACATTCTGCTTGAACTTACGGAAGTAAAATAACATTCTAATAGAAATACTCTTGCATAATATTCTTAAATATCGTTTCTTTTCAACAATTGGAAAAGAGAAAGAATTGAGCTGGAACTTTTTGTCTCGTAAATTCCTTGCCAGAATGGAATTACATTCTTTTCAGATCAAAAGAAATGTCTTAAACTTTTGAAAGAAAAAAACACCACAGGGACAGGATTTTAAAAATGTAAAGGCGCTTTTGAGATATTATTTAAGCAGTTGAATGTGAAGCCACAAATTCCTCCGTTCATTTAAAGCAGATATCGCTACGAAAAGTTTGAGAAAACCTATATCGAAACTTTTCCATCTCTTAAGAGTTATAATTCAACGAATATATTTTAAATATTTATGACATCATTTTAAGATCTATGATTGAATGAAGTTTTGCAGAAAACATCCAAGCCGCAATGCGAGAGACAACGTTTAAAACGAATTTGACTGGAAAATGACTTGAAAAGTCAGGACATTTCTTAGAATTTCGTGCAGCAAGGTTGCGCACTGAAAATGAGATATGAGTAGAATGTATATTACCCTCTTTTCACATTCGTTTTTTCATAAATTAATCGATGTAGTTGACATTTTATGCCTACAAAATAAATATACAGGGAAATGTGCAAATGTCTCGGGTTTACAAATTGAAGGTTGGTCAGATTCAAAAGTAAATTTGAACTATATGTACCTACTCTCGCAATTACATCAAACTAAAGAAGCAGCAGTAGAAAATATACAAACGTTCTACATTAACGAGAAATAAAAAAAAACTCCAAAAAATATTCAGAAAGAACATGTTCAGTATTTATTCTCTAAGAGTAATGAAATAAGAGATTATTAAAAATTCTATTATTATATTAAAAATACAATCGCTATATGTAGTAAACACTAAGTTGAATATATTCCTGAATACGTATTTAAGTTTTCATTTTCTATTAAGTGTCTATATGTATGTCGTTTCTATTGCAAAGGTATCCACCTGTTCACCTTTACTTAAAAAGGTAATTCACCAAGAATAATTACATTCATTGATTTTTATCCCACTTTCACTTACACGCACCACACACGTCGGAGCCCGGTCGGGAGCGTAGTGTTTGTCCCGGCTGTGGCGGTGCCCCGCTGGTGGGGGATACCTGGTTGGGGAAAACCCCGTTAGTCGACGGTAGGTCGGCGTCGGATCTCGCTATCCAGCAGGGAAAGACCACCACCACGATCCGAGGAAATGCATGCTCAACACTTACGGGACCAACGACCTTATCAGTTGACGCGCCCGGGATAATTAACAATCAATCATTTACTACTTTTTATAAAATATCTACATGAGTGCGATGAGTCCATAAACATACCTACAACAACTAAAAGAGCGACGATGGAACGGTTCAAGTACAATATGCCCAAACAGAACTGAAAATACGCCAGTTGCTCTTATCACTTTCAATACAAGAAGAGGACGTCAAACAGTCTCAATAGTTCACACAAAATGAATTTAATGATTTGGTAAGGGACTTTAGTCTTTCTAAGGAAACTGTTCAAATCCTGAGATCAAATCTAAAAAAAAGAACCTCGTAACTCCAGAAACATCATTTGCATGGTGAAGACATCTTGAAGAAGCAATTTGTCCCTTTCTTCTGACAAGAAGATTATCTTACATACTCTGATAATCCTGGTTTAGTAAATGCCTTGGGAGCTGAAAAATACGTTATAAGTGTTTGAAAGTTTTTTATAGATTTCTCTAAAGTGAGTATGAAAGCTGTTGTATTATATATTGCGAACAAATATTCATCAATTCGAATTACCCATTCAGTTCTTCTCAAGGAAACATACGAGAACATGAAATTAGTTCTATAGAAAGTGAAATACGAAGAGTATAAGAGGCAGTGTGCGGATATCTTAAAGTTATCGGCATGCTTCTTGGTTCGGTCTGGGTACACGAAGATACCAAATTTCTTATTAAATGGGACAGCAGAGCACGATCAGAACACTTTAATAAAAAGGATTGGACACCGAGCGAGATTATCTTGTTCCAGTAACCATAAATATACTGCATGACAATCTTGTGTACCTACAGATGTTCTCATTCCTCCGATACACATAAAATTGGGACTTATGAAGCAATTTGTTAAGACTGCAAACAAGAATGGTAACTGTTACAAATATTATACAATATATATATATATATATATATATACATACATTACACCTATATATACCACTATATATATAGTACAACCTGTATATATATAATATTACTATAGATACTATATTTTCCGAGAATATCTGATGCAAAAATTAAAGAGGTAGAAATAAAATAAGATAAGGAAGTTTAAAAAAGATACCATATTTAAAGACAAAACGACATAGATCAAAAAACAAGTACGGACAGATTCCAAGTAAGTAGTTAAAAAGTCATAGGAAACCACAACGATCCAAATTATAAAAATATTGTAAAATATATGCTTGAAAAGATTAGACAGAAAGGGTGTAACATGAGTGTTAAGGTACACTTCCTATACTCTCACATCGATTTTTCCAGAAAAGCTTGGCTCTGTCAGTAAGCGGCAGGGTGAGAGATTTCACCAAGACATCAAGGAGACGTTATCAGGGAAGGAGGAACGTAAGTAGGTTAGCAGACTATTGCTGGTCACTAACAAATGAAAAAACAAAACATTTACGACACGAGGAAATATAAAAAACGTTCTTTTGATAAAATGAATTAGAAAAATTTAATTCTAAAATAAATGAGATTACATGATTAGAGTTATCAAACATTGTTTCCTTTAAATATTTTTCGTGGTTTATTGCATTTAAAAAATAAATGTATTTGAGTTGAATGTAAAGCTATATTTGTATTATTTCTTGTGTTGTATTAAACTGACACGTGATGAAGCAAAACGGATTTCAAATGTATATTTAGCATGGTCACATTTATGTTATTCACACATGAAAATAATAACCTCAGCCAAAAAGTTAAAATTTGCAGATCAGTGCAAATCCAAAAAGATCAGTTCAAATTGCAGTTAACTCCAAATCGATGTTTTGCCGAAGTGCAGTGCGACTGTTTTCTTAGTGTGCCGCGAGCGAGGCAAATTCTGCTCGGCCGACGGGTCGTCACTCGCCGGGGAACGGCGCGCTCAACTTCCCTGCGAAGGAGCGCGTTGGGCAGGAGGGTTTCAAGGTCTCGCCCGGCGAAAGACTTGCTTTCGAATGCAGTTGAGTAGTCGGTTTGCTCCACGTTCACTCTCTAAGGAAAGGGTTTCTGTATGACTCATACGTACAGTATTGTAACGTATTAGCCAGCGTGCCTCATGGCATCTATTTGGGGACGCTTGGTAGAGGATTAGCCTAGCCACAGGAAGTAGGGTTTTTCCGTAAAGGGAAGAACGCGGAAACGGGAGACACAAGGCTTTGGGAGTCATAGAAACTTTTCACTGTTATAACAAGCGAGGGGGTGGCGTGACGTAGTAGGTCACGTGGACCTCGCCTTTATAACAGAGTGTACAGAGCCAGTGGGTGGGTTCGCCGCACCCGCTGTTGATCTCCCGCGCCGGTCTAAATGGTGATACTGTACTATTGAATTATCCTGACAAGTGTAATTAAATGAACAGTGGGTATAAAAATCACTTTCATTGCGTTGGAAAGTGATCCTGAAAATACAAACGTTTGATGGGTTGCCTATCAACCAGGAGCCCCCATTACCCTCCCCCCTACATAAGCACATGTTGGCAATACCACTGTAGAGAAAGCAAGTGGGAATGAATTAGCCAGAAAGACATGGGAAGAGTTTAAGAAAATGGCACATGACATGAGAGACGTTTTATTGGGAAAATGAATAATTAATAAAGTAATAAGGAAAAGAATGGGGAGGAATGAATAGAATCAGGGAAGATGTGATAGACATAACTATTGAAAAGAGAGCAAAGGAGATATACATATAGAAGGTTAGTAAGGCATATCACTCCATCTATAATGTGCATAAGTTTTAACAGGGGAGAGAATAGTCTATGAATCGAGATGAGAGGAAGTATTGACAAAACTCGCAAGAAACGAGATAAGAGAGTAGATATCGACAAGAGGTTACGCTCCGCAGAAAATATGCGATTGAGAAAGAAGATAAGAATTTTGTATTGGGAAGAAGCACGAGGTAGAAAAGCAGGATTACTGACTTCACTAGGTAAATTGGAAAAAAGGACCTCTGCAGAAAGAAGGTAGCTAGAGATAGACAAACAATAGAAGTGGAAGTAGAGAAGAGGGAGGTCCAGGGATAAGTTTTTATTGTATTGTAAAAAGCTTTGCTTTACTATTGCTGTAGGATTAGGCTGTGATGTTAATGTATTGTGTTGTATTGCAATAAGTATTACAATAAACCATTCTCAAGAGTGAATTAGTTGTAAAATTAACTTATACAAATATTTACACATCTGAAACAATTATTTTTATTGCAATGAGAATTTGAGTAAAAAACTAATAATTTTAACAACCTTTACGTAACATAATTAAATTTTTGCTCATTTTCAAACGTTTCATTCGGGAAGCGAGAATTCACCCGCGTGAAATATGAAATATACAAAATGTGTGAAAAGAAGAGAAAGTAATGGAATAAACACTTGAAGAACGCTAAAAATCTGAAAGAAAATTCAACAAAAAATATAAATAAAAGGATTGATTTTTGTAGGAAAACTTTGTATTATAGTTGTTAGTGATTCGCTAAAATTGTAACGACAAATGAACAGTTTATTTCAGAAACCCTTCAACTGACATTTTTATCAAAAATGGGATATGAATAAATTCTGGAAGGCCTACTGTAAAAACATCATTTAATGCAAAAATCAACTATGAAGCCTCCTAATGCGTTATATTTAATTATAAATTTTCTTTCTAGTGCAGAAACGTGTCAATCAAAATCTCATGCCGGCTTTCAGAAGATGTATCCATGACATGAACACTAACAATACAAAATGTATATATATATATATATATATATTATAATATAGTATATATAGAGAGAGAGAGAGAGAGAGAGAAGAGAGAGAGAGAGAGACGAGAGAGAGAGAGAGAGAGAGAGAAGTTATTAGTAGCCCTCATGTGGAATGTTGACGCGGCTGGAGAAGGGCTGGCAGCGCATGGCGGGAGTACGCGTCTTCCCGATAGGAAGCGCTGAGGCCGGGGATTGGATTCGCCCTCAGCTCTGCGCCCGCGATCTTCAGCGGGCAGCTAAAAGAATACTACTGGATGGAAATGAATCGCACATGTGATATGTGCAAGTGCTTCGTTATTTACCTCACTGGTCAGCGTGCTCGCTTTCCATCTCTATTCGATTCCCGGTCAGGGAACGTTATGGTGTGCGTTTCCCTCACAATGTGTCAGTATGCTGCTGTGTGACGATGAGAAAACGTACTTTTCATTTTGAGAAGACCAGAACACTGCGTAGGGACGTTTTCGTGATAACCACACGTCCCCCTGAAACACAGCCGCGAGGCCGGGGCGGTGCTGGGAGGCCCTTGTCCGTTTGTGGACTGTCGCGCCAAGTGCAGTCAGACGAGCAGTATTGTTACTTAACAACCCTAGATTACATTTTGTAGATGGTTAGAGCATTTTTATAAAGAGAGGAGATAAAAAATGGTATGGGTAAAAAAAGGATAGTAAATAAGTAGGTACGTATATTAACTATTAAGTCAAGAATGTTAAAGATTAAATTCATATTGAATTCACATAAATATTCATATTTATATTCATATAAATTAATAAGATCGCCGGTGCTGTAGATACCTTCCAATAATTTAATAAATAAAATGTGTTATCTGGTATATAATATTTAATACCAAACAACACCTTTTATTTATTTAATTGAATCAAATTGTTTTAAAATAGGAAACGTAAAAGGTTCTGAGGAAGTTTTATTTTCAAAGGAATATAAAGTTTGTGCCTATCAAAACGACAACTCTACAAAATTAAACTGTAACTTCTAAGTAATACTACTCACTAGTCTATTTCAGGTTACAAAATTAACTGAACTGAATTATTACCAATTTCATTTAAATATAACAATAAAATACTTTTGTTTACTTTAAAGCAAAATTAAAAGAAAATAAAACGTGATATTAGCATATTTAAAAGGGCATATTAATAACGGTACTTGACATTAATTATTTTCAAATTTTCAATGCCTATATGCACACACATTGACAGTAATTAAATTGTTTTTTATTCATTTTTGTTGATCGAAATAACACATCTGTCAAAACAAAATCATCTCGGAATTAATTTAAATCTTCCTACGCAAAAATGAAGCGAAAGTGCCCTACTTTCAGATTGCGAACGATATTTATATTATCGCTATAATGTGATATTGCTCTAATTTGGTTTCCTTTTTTACGAAAAAAAAATATTTTTATCCAATATCTCGTCAGGAAAAACATTTATTTCTTGTATTGTGTTTTAAACCCATATAAGCTTTAGTGTTACAAAAGTATTAATTATTAGTTTGTGATATTAAGTACAAAAACTGTGAGATCTTTAATGAAATTCCATCGAATTTGACAAAATTATCAATTTACAATAATTATAATATGCTTAACTCAGACAATAGTGTCAAATTATACCAACTAGGTCACAGTAAAATGAATGAGACAAACACGTACTGCTAATATTGTGCATGAAATCTATCTAGAAGCAAACCAACTAAACTGTTGTTGACTATTTTATTAAACGTTTGGTCACTTCGCCGTATTTACGAACCGTGTAATCTAATTGCCTTTTTTAATTATTACTTTTATTATAATTTATTTTTATCACTCTATGACCTGTGTTTGTGAATTACAGAGGACAATAATTACATAAAAGTCCAAACTATTCTCTGAAATGAAGAAAATGGCAAATTTGAAATTAAATTTGTCGTCTTTGATCAAATCATAAAAAGACAACTGAAATTAATTAAGAAAGGCTCATCAAATTATCAATTCCTCACTTCAGGAACGTGCAATATGCATTTTTATGATAAAAAATTAATCCAGCGGAGGATAATAGCTGCGCGCGAAAGAATTGCACCCAGGCTCGTAATTGTTCCTCGCGCAGAGGCCCCGCCACTTCCCCCGCAATTTCCAGACATATGATGCAACCGATTCCGCACACAATGACGGCCGCGGGAAAGAGCCATCCATCATTCCTTAACAATTAGCTTGTTGTATTATTCGTGAGACAATTCCGTGATTTATCTCGACCAATATTGTTAGTTCCCGGCGGTGCCGCCGCGGCGCCACCTCCGAGGGCGTATCGAGCCCTGCGCGGTGGGGTGGGGAAAGGAGGGGAGGGGAGGGAAGGCCCAGAGCGGCCGTGCGTCGTCAGTTGTCGGGGAGGCTTCGCCGCGCCCGGTCCATTCCCTGCCCGGCGCGTTCGGGCGCCGTCGGCCGCCGCGAATTGCGGTGAATCGTTTTCAGCGGAACACCAGCTGCCGCGAAGTGCTACGCTTTCAAACTTTGTTTTTTCTTTGCGGGTTTGGAGGTAACGTGAAACGAATTTCATTACCATTAAATACTTTCGTGTGATCATAATAATCGGCACCATGTGTTTAATTAGTTTCAAGGATGTTTCTTTCTTCTTGAAAACTCGGCGTTCTATGGATGTTTATGTGACCTAACATTGTAATAGTGTTTCATCTCGTGTGTTTCCTCACATTTTTACCTCAGCGGCAAATACAAGAACGAGTACATAAATTAACCTTTAATTACTATTACTCTATTAAACTTGTAAAGTAGAACTCTATTAAAGTAAAGTTGGGATTAATAAAAAGCAGTTACATCAAGGTATACGTTTTACATAATATTTAGATTTCGTCTCTTGGGGAAGAATTTTCTGGATGTGTAGAAGTTTAGAAAGTTTCTTGCAAGTTTCTCATTATTGATGACAGAAGTGAGTAAAATCTGAAATTTATATTCCACATAGATCTTGTTACATTTGCACAAAAAGTGAGTAATTCCGGTTGAAAAGTGAAATAATTTAATTTGTGTGCAGTGATGTTTGTACAAACTCCGGTGTGAAAAAACCTTACCAGTCGATATTCAAACATCCGGAGTAGTTATCTCAACGACAGTTGGGAAGTGAACGTGATTTAAAAGAATGTCATCTAGCCTCATTTTAGCAGAGTGAATTGTGTTTCTGTCGTATCGTAGTGGACGTCGAGGAGTAGGGTAGTCGGGTGTTATCACAGAAGGCTCCGCTCCGGCGCAGTGTTTGTGTTGGTGGACTGCGTGGCCGCTGGAAGGGGAGTGAATTGGCGAGCCGTGTGCAGTGCAGTGTTGTGATTGGCCCAGGGATGCGGAGGCCTTGAGGAGCAGAGGCGCGCAGGGGGCCATGACGGGCCTGCTGCTCCTCGCCGTCCTCGCCGCGTTTGCCGCCCTGGCAGGTGAGGCTCCGACAGCAAAACACTACCTATAAAAGACTGATATTTTTATAACATTTATGTAACCCATGTTTTGTCTTTCTATTTACCCTTCTCAAATTTGTAATCTGGGCGAATATTCGCAGTCTAAGCACAATATCCTATTTTTTTTAGTAACATATTTTTACATTTTTAGTATTACTCGCGCAACTTTCCTTGTACGATGGATTGAAGAAATGCGGGTAGAGTGGGGGTATTAGTTACGAAATTGGCCACAAGATTTTATAAAGCAATGCCAATCTCTGGAGAACCAGTCATGCGTTTGCAACGTTCTCAATAATTGTCGTTCTAACTTACTCAGGTGTTCAAGGTACCTCCTGTAATAGAACTTTACCTGATTTGGTTATTTCTTTAGATTTTTGGAGAAAATAACGGATAGAAGTTCTTGCCTCCAAAAGAAAATTGTTTCTATTTCGCGCCAGTGAATATGTTTGGAATGTTGTCATTAGAGCTCGCTGCGAGCTTTTGTCTTCATCTGTTTATTGTGCTAGAGAGGGGAAAGCAAGGTCAGCGTTCAAGAAAAGTTGCGCGAGTAATACTGTATTACATGTTGTACTACTTTCACAAAATATTTTTATTCTTTTAATTTTCTTAACTTTTCATACATTTTTATGAAATGAAGTACTTAAGAAATAGAATATTTTCCTTTATTATTAGTGCGTGCTGTCTATTCCTGGTTTGCTATAATAAGACGCGGTCGACTGGTCTCACAGCGCACTTGCTTTGGTTATCTGTGGCTGGAGATGCGCGTCAGCGACTGAGATCATTTTCAACTTCGAGTGAAAAGTATCACTGACGTAGCGTTCTTGTTCTGTAACCTTAATTTACGAGAAAATTAGGGGATCGCCAATGTGTAGTAATACTTCTACAAGAATGCTGTAGGCTGCAGTGATTGTTTGTTGGTCGAAGATATCGCCAGTTCTTACGACGGTTTTCATTGCGTCTAGACAGATTGTCACACAACCATTCTGGATAAGAATGGATGAAGCTTTTGCTACTTATTGATTATCGAATGATTTTTTAAAACGTTGGCATTATTTTTAAAACTTTTTTAGAATTCTTTTAAGAATGTAATTTCATATTATATCAATGTGTTTTTTAATTAGTGTATTTTAATATTATATATTATAATTGATTTTTTCTTATTACCTATTCTTCTGTTTTCATTTGCTATTCACGTACATGTTTTGATGATTCACACTACATTTTTTCCGGTCTATTTGTCTAGAACGCGCGAGAAAAGTCTCCGCAGTGGCACCTTGCTGGCGAGTGTATGCGTCAGACATTATGTTGGTGGTACGAGGTGCAGCTTCTTGCGTCCTCTGCACCATCATAACACGATGCTGGAAGTGTTGCCTCCTTCAGTTGTTTTCCAGCGATCTGTTTGCTACCGACCTTAAATGCAATTTTTAATAGGAGGCTATGACTTGCCTGGCGCACGTTCTTCAGATGTCTAATAAGAAATTGCAGCCTATGATGAACTGTCGCGTACCAACCCCATGTCGGTAACCAGAAAACTCTTTTGAGTGGGACTACTACGGTACCTAGAATAAATCTCGTATAACTGCGGGGAAATTTTGCATATAAATATCACAAATAAAAATATGAATTTTAAATAAATTGCATATAAATGAAGGAAAACCGAAGATCCATATTCTTGTTAATGGGTTTTGGGCCATAAACACGATCATGACAAATCATGATCTCAACTGCAAAGTGGGTTCAAGATGACTCGTATGTATAATACCTATTGTCATACATATGTATATACACTGTAAGCCCTTAATATAGCAAATTACAAGTGACAGAATTAATCGGAGTTCGTGTGAAAATTCATGTTAAGAGTTCGTGCTAACGGGGGTTTACTGTATACTATATTACTGTAATACACACATAGCAGTTATTTTGTGCATGTCGTTATAAAACTATTGTTAATGGTTAAAGCATAGAAAAGGAATATTTTTCAGCATTTTCTATTCTTGTAGTCCTTTTTACGGAGACCCAAATGGCCGCCCCATTTTTTTCGAAGAATTAGGTGGTATACGTGGTTGTTTCACTTTCTCAACTGCTCTCTACATCTACAGACAAAAAAATATTTCAAAGTGTGTAAGGGGAGCTCAGGTTGTAAGAGAACGCAAGAGTTTCCAAATACAACAGGGTTCATGAAGGTTCTTAAATCTCCTAAATGGGATGCATTGACTCTGTATCTGAACGAAGAAAAAGAAAGAAACAACGCTGAGGTCATTGACCTTTCCTCCCGGTCAAGATAATGCATGTTCCTTTGCAAAGTGATATTAATAAAATATATCATATAATATCATATAATATATCATATAATCAAAGTGATATTAATAAAATATATCAATAATATATATCTAATAAGGGAAATTACCATTACCAGTAGATAGAATTTTAAAGTAGACAACAAGTTGTTGAACGTATGAACTCTCCGTTATTACTTCAGATTTACCACATAGTGAATATTTTTTTATCAACGAACAATAACTTAATTCTTATTAGTGTTCTGATCAGTTTCATGAGGGTTCAAAAAGTTTAATGGAGGTAGAGAATGTACAAGGAAAGTAAAACTTAAGTCATTTAGGCCTCCGTTATTGATTCTTTCAATAATTATGTTCTGGTGATATATACATTTTTTCCAAAACCTTGAGCGAAAAATGAGATGCCATGGACTTCAAATTGCGAAGTGTATGCTATTGCTGTTGGGTGGTGCCCGTCTCGTTTGTAAGCAACGTCTAAAGCTTAGCGCCCTGGCCCTTTCTGAAAGTTCATTACGTACTTTTCCGTAAGCAGCGCGCGCTGGACCGTTAGGGTCTGGACGGAACGATCCGCGTTTGAAGACGTCCGAAGGAAAGTTGTTCTGGACTTACCAGTGTGCGGATGACGCCACCGGCCCGGTCGGGACGGCCTTTCAAGCCTTCGTACTTGGATTTTTTTCTTGCGGCCATTGTCATTGTTACACCTTCTGCGTTATGAAATGAATCATTTTAACAGTGGTAAGCACATCTGATGCCACAAGACCGATAAAGGCGGAAGTTTGCAAATTACAGAGTTTAAAAAAAATTAATTTTGTAAGGGAGGAGATGAAAGAATTTCCTAATCCCATCCGCCACTGTAGAGAAATCGAAGTATAGTTGTGAGGTTATGTTATAGCGTTCAATTTAGTAGTATTAATCCAGAATTATCACGAGTTGTACAATATGATGTTAAGATTTATTTAATGTATTACTTTGTGAGGAAGTGTAATCTAGTTGGTTAGCTAAACTACCTGAATCAAAGAGTAATATTTGCCGAATTTAAAATACTAGATATTTATAAGAAGCGGTACAGTATTCGTGAAACTAGGTACATAAGTGCACGGTGAATTAGTACGCCATGTTGAAATGATACATTCGTTAAATAATAAATGTGAATAATATGTGTCCGTTTACGTAAATTATTAGGACTTTTCTATGATTATTTTCGTTCGCTTTTTATTTATGTAATTCAAAATATACAATTATGTTTAAAGTTTATCCTGAGATATCATTAAGTACTGTAATAATTATTTATCTTTAACGATATCGAGATTTAATATATGAAATTCTCCCTTTGTCATTCCCGTTCTGTTTTGAAGAGTCTGGCCTTTCTTCGGCTCCTTGCCTCTTTTTCTTCAAAATTAACGCAGTCCGATTGATTGATTTCCTTAATTATGAAACAGAATCGAAAAATTATGAAACGCACAATACAAAACACGGAGCGAGGAGCCAAACTGACCAAGAAACGGAATTGTCTGTTTCGTCCCGAGGTGCGCGCAACCCACACACGCTGCTGCCTGTCCGGGGCCTGTCCGGCCCATACCAACCCCGTGCGCGAGTGGTGTAAGGCTAGCGACACACGAGCGGCGCAAAATGTCACGTCCGTTGCTCGATAGGCCGCAAGGATACGATTAGCGCGCAACGGGTGTCATTTGTCCTGGTATTTGCTAGCAAGCGTGGATCCCGCGGCAGTAGAAACGGTGTGTGACATTGCAACGAAACTTACAATTGAAAAGATGTGATGGTGGGTTCATTCCGTTAATTGCGAAGGTCTTTTGAATCGAACAGTTTTAACCGCCTTGCAGATTGTGTGAAACAACGGTGAGACATTTTTTAAAATTATTTCCGAATAACTGAGCCGTCGTTCAGAGAATAAGCTCTCGGAATTACATGAATAAATTAAACGGAAGAATACCAATGTGAGGTGTGCTTCACCACATGAAATGGTTGTATGTTTTTTTCTTCTTCCTGGGGCTTTTCCGGCTTCAGAAATGTCATTTTTGACTATCCGCGTCGGGTACCGAGTATGTCCCTCGTGGGGACATATATTAACCATTTACTCTCGCCACATTTGTGTCCATTCCTCGATCTGTGGTTAGCAGACTCTTAACGCATTCCGCGACAACACACATACACGGAAGACAAGGGGCACACAACCATGCCCACGGCGGTTCTCGAACCCGCGACCCTTCGGACCGAGGGGTCGCTTTTGTTATTGAATATTAAAGTAATAAACTTAATGAAGCGAATTTTGTTTTGGATTCTTTTATTCCTTTTCTTCGGATCGGTCAAATCTTTTTTTTAGATTTGAATTAAGGAATTGTATTCTGAAAGTAGACCTTCTTAATATTTTAAAGATCTTATCAAAAAAGTAATATTTATTTGAGATATTTTTCATGAATATTCATTGTATTTTAATTATCTTGCACATCCGTTTTTGTCTCTTAATTGGACGCTGAAATTTAAATTTTGCTTCTCATGATCGATCTCCCGCAACTTGTATTATCATTGCTGGTATTTTTCAGCGTTGTTATCACACGAAAATACTGTATTAAAAAGCCCATTACATAGTCAATAATCGAAATCAAAAACAGATGAGATCACTGGAATATTAATTTAGCAAAAGAATAATTTTATTCTGCTTCATTGTCTTTCTAATAACAAAAGTATCTGACAGATGTAAGTCGTTTTTCACTAGTTGAAATAACCATTTACATTGCATAACTTCGGGAAATGCGAATGTACTTCGTGTATTAAAAATTATTAAAATTCAAATGAGAAGTAGAAAGAAGAATTGAGAAGTTTGAATTAAGATTACTATTTGTTTTTAAGTAGATACAGCGGTTCTGAGAGTAATGTAAGATTCATTAAGGAAGCCTTAATTTGTCTCTCTGAAAGAGAAGAAATAATTAAAGAAACTTCGGATAGGAGGAGGAAATAAAAGAAAACCGTAGCGCCATCGAATAAATAGGAGATCTGAGTACCGAACAGAACAAGAAGCAACTGCAAGTAAGTACCCTTTGCTTAACTCGGAAAGCAGGTCGCAGGGAGTAGAGCAGTGGGGATTCGGGAAGTTCTTATTTGGGTCTTGGGATTTTCTTTGCAAAAAGACAGGGCCAGAGAGAGAAACAAGAGGCGACGGACCGACTATTGCTGGTGTCCAACAGCCGGGAAGAAGAGAATCTTAAACGTGTAGCGTAAACAAACGCATTTTCGCGTGCATGTTTTCCGTTTTCGAAACGGCTATTTTTTTCACAGTTTACAAAAAATCTGTAACGATTCGCAATAGTCTTTCGTCTTGTCGATGGAATCCATTCACTTTCGTACAAGTAAGGTACTTCTTGTTATGGCATATTTAGTTTATATCCCTTTCCTTGGCGCATTGCGCTTCGCTCACGGCGTGTTACAAAATAGTATGCGTAAGCCGTAGGCGAGTCCCGCACTCGGCTCTTCGAGAAACTCGCCTCTCCTGCGTGGACCACCTGTTCACGCCATTGGTTCGTAAACTACCATCATAAGTCTGTTGATTCAGAGTTGCCGTGAAGACTAGAAAATGAACTTTTATAGAATCAGAAAATAAATATGTTAGTGTTATTGTAATGTGTCAATGTAAAGAATTTTTGAAATTATTTTGTTGTTCAATAATCTGAAATAGGCTGTTTACTCAAGCGTGATTTGAAAATTATAAGGGTTACGGAAAATGTTATATATTGACTGCAGGTCTGATGTTATTTAATACATGCGGGCCATGACGACCGCTAGCAAACATGGTTTTTACAACCATGCGAGAAAACGTAATACATTATATGTTAAAATGTTGTTTAAAACTAGGAGAATCAATGCTTTACTCACTAAAAAGGAAACGACATAAAGTAGGTTGTTAAGATCCAATACAGCAGGTAGATGAAACCGTAGCGGTTTTTTAACAAAAACATTGAAACTCTCAAAAAGAAAACAATTGCGCGCCCACGCATTCACAACTGCTCTCAAACCGTCTGACAGGCCCTCCAGCGCAGTAGCACTGCGTTTGGCCACTCTAAGCTTCCCTCAGCAATAAGAAACTGAACGTCCCCATTTTGAACAACTTTCCCCTTATCTGACACTATACTCAACAAACGTTGAAAAAATCGTTGCCTTTTCGAGAAAATATTGTTTCAAAATTGCCTTTATTTATTACACGCAAAAGTACGCATTATCAGCTCATATGTTAGCAAAATTAAAGGTGCCGCGGTATCGGATCGATCGGGAAATATCGTTTAAGGACATATATTGTTTAAGGACTAGACCGGTGTATTTCATCTGTCCTCTTGGTCAATACGAAGATTGAGGATTTGAATGAAAGGAGTTTCCGAGACTCCCAACCGTTTCCCCCGCAATGGCAGTGTCTAAACGTTTCTGAATGGTGGAAACATAGGCGATGCTAGAGTATAATATTTTGAGCTCGTTTTTCCGAAGGACGGCCTTACGACGGTTCCCATTTAGAGAAGTGAAGATGATGCTGAATGAAAGAGGAATGCAAATCAACGGAAAATTGTAGGAAAAACATGTAGATATTTACAAAAACAAACTCATCTGTAAAACAACACTGCGCACGTATTTAAGATGGTTATTTAAATTCCTTTCATTCCAGAATTTAATATTTGGTAATATAAAAAATCGATGTCGTCACAATATCATCGTAACAAAGCCTTATAATCTTAAACCTCTAGAATATCCTGTAACCAAATTTTACAGCTCATTTTGCCAACATTTCATACAGTTCTTTCAAAAATCCCAGTAGAAATTGGTTCTGCTTTTTCTCAAAGTGCTGCAGTCCTTCTTCCCTGGTCACATGCGTGAGGCATCAACTCGTTCCAAAACGAGTTGTGTTTCAAGTATGTTTGATTCATAAACTTTTTCAAATTCAAATTGAACAAAGTTTTCTATGAAGAAAATTATCATTAAATGGGCCTGAGAAGTTTTTGTTCTTAAATAGGTATTTTTAATAGATGAGTGGTGGGCGAAAATAACTCTTATTTTTCTTGCGGTTCGATTATAACCTTCTATATTTCTTAGTTATATATTTAAAATAATTTCTAAAAGTGATTTTCATCTGATTGTACGGTTGCCATCTTTTAATACATTACCAGTTCATTTTCTGAACGTAGGGTTGACAATGCTTGGACACAAGAGTTTCGTTACAACTTTAAAATGTTAAGTTTCCTCCCCAGCACTTTTTTTTGTTTTTTATTGGTATCATATTATATCCCGCTTCTCTCTATTCCGCTCCATCCTCTCCTAGAGGTGATAGTTTCATCAGTTGGGGTAGTTGCTCCACTGAGACTTGCACTGGAAGTAGACAGCACCCTGCAGTGGCAGATGTTCATTGTTCTCTGGTTTCATTTTGCGAGTCAGAACCTAAATTCAACTGTATAAGTAGTTTTCTGAGCTTCCGCTAATCTGGACCTGTCGTTTTTTGCCTTTCACATAAATTTTACATTTTTTCCTTTTCATTTTTCTTGCAAATTGCACTAGTTGGATAAAAGTCCTTCAATACGCTATGCGAACTATAACCTTACTAACATGTTTGCTCGAAAGGGGAAATGTCTATTACTTTAATAGATTGTTTAAAACTGGCTCAATGAAATAATGCATAAATGACGATGCATGAATGTCCTATTTATTAATTTCAAAGTATAATTCAATTTTAGTCTTTATTGAATAAAATCGAATATTATGAGTATTTGTTTTTACATGTTGGGCAAATTTCCATTCATTTAAAGTCAAAATCTTGAAATATTCTTGATCAAAGGTTTTTTTTTCATTTAGAAGTTTTAATGAAGATCTGAACTGTACCATACATATAAATATATTTTCTTATATGCCAGCAATAAATATCAATTATAAATTTCATCTATTAAAAAAATTAAAAATACTTTAGAGTTTTATGTAAAGTAGGCCCAAAATTAAAATTTACCAAGTATCTCCTGCAAGATACAACTACGTACGTACACCTATATAGTATTACTTATTCCAACTATATGTACGTACAACTGACGTACTTACTAAGTTTCAGCTTAAACGCTTATAAGCTAGCAGTTATTCGTGGCACATCCATACATCAATACGTACATACATGCATGCACACCTACATACCCACAAAAGTTTTTCAGCTATAGTGTCTAAAAAATTGGACATATATCCCCTTGACCTTATTTATTTTCTTCACCTTATCCTTCCACTTATCATCTTCAAGCACAATGAATTTCATCCTGACGTGTGCGAAAAGTACCACCGAAAAGAATATTAACCCCTTTTTTATGACAGTATCTTTCGAGATCAAATTGTTGAAGGGATTCCAATAACCTTTCTCTCTATATTTTACTCTACTATAGTGCGCGAAGGGAAAGCATAAAAAGAAAATAAATGTTCAAATAAAACGGTTATGTGTATCCACGTACTGTTCAATCGCCATTTTCCTGCAACTGCGGTTATGTTGGCGAATTGGCCCGGGCCACTCGAAAGAAACGCGAGCGGCCATTCATAGCGCTGACGCCAATTTCAGCCATCGCCCCGAAATTGCTGGTTAATCCCGCTTTGTGGATGCCCACATTAAAGCGCCGGTTGGGAGTCGACGGAAAGAAACGTCATCACCCTTGTATGATTTGACTGATCATCATAACACGTCACAACGTCAGATCTCTATTTGAGCGCGTTGTGGATGACGCAAGGGAAGGGTTGCGTGGAGAGGGAATGAAGTCACATTAAAAATTAGTAATAATTTTTGCGCACCGGCATTATAAATGACCTTTTCTGTTGCAAGGAATCATTCATAATCGAGCATTTTACGGCATAGAATATGACATATTAGCATTTACGGCTGGAACGATTGCGGACCACACATTCAGCCAATAAGAGCGAGGGAATCGTGTGGTGGTTGCGGTAGACGCATCTGCCGAACTTCGTTTTTTGCCAGACGTCAGATACCCGAGGAGTCACAAGAAAGTTGTTTCGCAAAATTAATTTTGATTTTCTTAAAATTTATGATGCTTTTATACAAAAAATAGAGTATGCAACTTGACTATAACTTTGCATTATTGCCCTCGTACAAAATAGAAAACTCGCTCCTGACGTCGCTTGTTTTTAAACAAGTACTCGTGCAATAAAGTTTTACGTTATAAACTAATTACAGAAACTACTATTATAATTTCTCGATAGAGATGCTTCAGCTATTTCCCGCTACAAATCCCTTGTTTTCCTTCAGTGGGAATACCGAAGCTCAAAATGCGATCAGTACAGAATGTGATGCTTCAATCAGGCGCTAGCTTACTTTGTCGATATTTGTTCATGAAAGCCAATATTGTTCCTGTCAGTAATCAATAAGTTTCGTGAGTTTGCTGGGTATTCACCTCTTGAACAAAATATAACAATGAAGATTCAATCTACAAAGGATTGAAAGTTGTGCGATAAATTAAGCAGCTCTTATTTCTATTGCTCTTATCTTCTGCGAAGGCAATTACTAAAGATTTACACTATTATAAGATAATTAGTTTTCTGAAAGTATTCTAAAAGTCAACCACTGGTTGAAATCCGATAAAATATTAGATTGTTACAACGTCCAAAATTGATTGTATCATGGATTAACATTAATTATTTTTTCTTTGGATAAGTTATGTCGAGTTAAATTGGAAAGTCTTTTATCAGCTGAATGCTGATACAAATGCATTAGTAAAATTTTCTAATCTAAAATCTCCACTGGTCTTCTCCGGAAGCAGGAAATGTCGGGTTCCGAGTGCGGTGACTGTAAGAGAGATACTCTGTACGCGCGCCACGGAGTGTTACGTCCGCCACTGAAGGGTTCTTATTAATGTTGCTACTGAGGCTGAAACATCACACACTTTCTACACTATTTGTAAAGGCTTCACAGTATTAGGATACTTCACGAACTTCTCAACGTTTTTTTCGTGGAGTTTTATTTTCACGCTAAGATTCGAACTTTTGTGCTCTTTTCAACAACAAAAAAATGACCATTACACGATAAAATACCTCCATTTCAACATTTGTACTTGAATACCCACGATTTCCTCGTTTCTTCTACACTCTTTTCTTTTCTGAAAGTATTTTACAGGCCTCGCGTCTCAAAAGTGAAGGTAGAAATCGCTTACAAATCTACACCTCTATGGTTCACCCAGCTATCTTTTGGTTTCAT